TGTGTCCGCAAATTAAGGGGTTTGATTGGTTGATTGATAAAAACAAACATTTGCTCCGAAAATACCCATTGTCAGACAGATCCTTCGGACCTTAAATGGTTTCCATTTACCTAGTATATACCCTTACCAAACCCTAACCCTAATACTAAAAAAATTTGTATTAAAACAAAACTTACAAAAATTTAAAAAATATAAGGAAATATATAATAGTTGTAAAACACCATAGGTGTGTTTTATAATAATTGTACTACAATTATTTGGATCAATTTATTTACGTTGACTTATCTATTTAGTTCACAAACATAACCCTTTAAAAAAAGTATACTGAAATCATTTTGAATTAATAATAAACTTTTTCCGCTGTATGAATTTTGACGAATTTTGTGTTACTTGATACGGAATATTGTATATACCATAAATTCTCAAAATAGCGGGCATGGGCGTTTTGGCCCGAATTAAGCTTAATTTAGGTCAAATTTCGTAATTTTACCCTGGGCGTTATTTCGAGAATTTACGGTAATAATATATTTAAAGATCAATTCTATTAATATCATATACAATATTTGTTCGTTTCTTTGCCAAATCTTTGACTAGAGAGTGGAATCGGTGAATAATTATTCGGGTATTGATCGAAAATTTCGAGCATCGAAATAAACTTCATTCATTGAGTTTTAATTCGGTCAATCATCGAGCATCAGTCAAAATTAAAATTTAACTATTGTTTTGATAGCGATAGCAGTATAGTTGATAAATTAAATGTTATACTAAAATTTTTTTTTATGTTTTTAAAAATTCATCGAACATTCGAATATCGGTCAAAATTTTTTACCGATGCTCGAAATTTAGAGTTTGTGATCAACCAATGCTCGAAACTCATTGATTCCACTCTCTGTCTTTGACATTTGACCGGTTATAAAGTATTCGCTTTTTGAGGATTCGTTATTTGAAACCATCATTTCGAATTTAGGTTTCGGTTTTCATTATTTTGATTTTAGGTTTCGCCCAACAACTATAGTTATGACGGACTCCGTTAAATCGATTCATAGTTATAACAGATGAGATTGTCAGTACCAAATCTTAAATGAATTTCCCTTGATATTACTTATAGCTGATGCGGATAAAGTTTATTTATTTAATAGATGCCATTTGATTTTCTATACTGAATATTATATCTGATTGGCTATTAAATGAATATGTTATATAATAATAAAAAAAACTCTAGCACGTTGATACCGTGACCTGAATAAGGCATGTGACATGTGACCACTTTACCTGGAATAATTAATAATTCAAAAACGTAAATTAAATTCATTGTGGAAGTTGTACATGAAGGAAGTAATGACAAATCGGGTACATCTAAATTAACGTTAACTGCTGTGCTGATGAACATGAAAATTTACATTCTAAGAAGCCTTCAAATTCATACTAAAATGAACCCAAAATAAGATTAGTATAGAAATTCATATGAATAAGACGTTCAAATATTTTCAAAAAATCTGCTAATAGAGAAATTTCACTAAATAAAGAAAATTTTCCCCAAAGCCTCACTCATATAGTTTATAAACAGATTATAGTTATAAATGGAAAGTTTGAGAGAATTACCTCGTCAATTTTTAATGAATTACCTTAAACTATTAGAGCAGGGCACATAGTTAAATTTTATACGTACCACAACCTCTGCAAATTCGTATTCGTGGTTGCAAATTCATTCTTACGACTGCAAGTTGTAAACTTTAATTAAGATAATATGATTAGCAAATCAGCCAATCAAGATAAAAGTTTGCTACGTTATTACGACGTTATTATCCTTTTCATATCTACATCAGTAAATCTGAATCATTCATGCCATGCGAATAATAATAATAACAGATAAGTATAATATTATATTAGGACCGGGAAAACTCTATAATAGGTCCCCGCCCCACCTATATCTATAAATATGGAAAATGTGACTGACTTATCATAGATTCGAATTATTATAAAGTCTCATGAGGTCCTTGACTTTATATAATTCGCAGAAAAAAAGGTCACCGCCCTGGATTAGATTCGCACATATAGAATATAAAAAATGTCATCGCTATTAGTTGATTCGATTTATTATAAAATCAAGTACAAGTCCGAAATATTCCGGTTAGAAAATCAACGAACGTAAAATGCGAGCAAGGTCGGGAAAATAATTGAAGCAAAGCTCTGAAAAATTCCGGATGGGTTTAGTAGTTTAAATATATATCAAGGTGTTTGACTAAAATGATTCGCTTTATTATTAAATTTTTTAAGGTGCCGCAAAACTGATTCGCTTAATTATAAAAAAAGCCTGATTCGCAAAACATAATAAATAAATTTTTTGGGGCGGGGGGACCTATTATAGAGTTTTCCCGGTCCTATTATATTGGTAAACTAAAATAGCTTGCGTTTCGGGCTATGCTCTAAAATTGTATTAGATGCATAGAACCAAACCTATATTTATCAAAATTCCTGTTCGCATATAATAAAAAAAAAAAAAGTAAGTGGATTTAGAAAATTAAGGTTAGGGTATACCGAATTCAGCAAAAAATTTTTGGGGCAGCGCAGATCCGAGTTGCAGTGCATGCAGCTCAGTATAAAGTTAGTGCATAGAATCATCGAATATTTTTTTTTGATATTTTCACGGCATTATGAGTTCCGCCAAGAGAAAACCTGCAAACCTTATCTAATAAGATTTGCAGGTTTTCTTTATATCATAAAAATATCATCAGTAATGTTCACGGGAGGACATATAGGGCCGTGTAATATAAAAAAGAATAACAAACATATATAGGAATGATCCGTAGTTAACTTTATATGGAGGTTAAATTAAATAAATACATAGTGAAAAAAATTCTCACAATATTATTCTTCGCTCCTTAACATGTCTTCAAAATACGAGGAAAATATTATTTTGCCTAACGGTAAAACTGTTAAAGGTATGCAATCTCTATATTAATCTTTTGATACATTATGATACACTTTATTCTAATTTTGATGGGGAATAATTATTATTATTATTATATAGTTTATACTGGCCTTTTTATTGATAACGAATTTGTTGACTCTGTTGATCACAAACGTTTTGAGACTATTAATCCTGCTACTGGCCAAGTTATTACTTCTGTAGTAGAAGCATCTGAAAAAGATGTTGATATCGCTGTTGAAGCTGCAACGAAGGCTTTTAATGAGGAATGGATTCATATGGATGGTCATAAGCGTGGAAGATTATTGAATAAGCTTGCTGATTTAATTGAACGTGATATCGATGAATTAGCTGCTCTTGAATCATTGGATAACGGTAAAGCTTTTACAATAGCAAAGTCCGCAGATCTTCCACTTACAATTGCCGTTTACAGATACTTTGCCGGATGGTGTGACAAGATCCACGGCAAGGTGAATTGGTTTTACAATTTTCGATATAAGAAACTTTCGATATAAGTAATTCATCATATACCGTATTTTCGCGTAATAACGCTCATGTGCGTTATTTCGAATAATGGCCCGAATTAAGATTAATTTTGGCCAAAAATTGAAATTATACCCCTGCGCGTTATTACGCGAAAATACGGTAAGAAAGATTTTATAAGGCCTGTTTGAAATTTTATAATAAAAAGCCTTTATGTAAGAAAATCTCGATATAAGAGAGATTTTGGCCGGACTCGGTGACTTTCTTATATCAAGAGTCAGTTGTATTTAATTTTTTTTAAATACATCAGACTGTCACCTGCACATGATACGCATTTTAACATTTAGCATTAGTAATATTTCAAGAATTAAAGTCATCTGGTATTTAAAACAGGATAATATAATAATAATGCAGTACTTTTTTTTATTGGTAGGTTATTGAGACTGAACATGATAAATTTTGCTATACGCGTCATGAACCAATTGGTGTTGTTGGTGCAATTATTCCATGGAATTTTCCACTTCTTATGCAATCTTGGAAATTAGCTCCAGCCTTAGCATGCGGTATTTATGTTGAACATAATAATTCTATAATACGATTAGAACTGTTCATTAACAATATCCAATTATTTTTATAGGCAACACTGTAGTACTTAAATCATCTGAATATACTCCTTTGAATGCCTTAAAAGTTGCTGCCTTATTTAAAGAAGCTGGGTTTCCAAAAGGTGTCGTTAATATTCTGTCGGGATTTGGTCCTACAGCCGGTGCTGCTATTGCCAATCATATGAAAATCGATAAAGTCGCTTTTACAGGTAAGATAGAATTGGTTCTGATTTTATAGTAAAAATTTTATTTATATATTTGTTTTTAAATTTTCTTAGGATCGACCGCTGTAGGAAGATCTATATTAAAAGCTTCGGCAGATAGTAACTTGAAAAAGGTTTCCTTAGAATTAGGTGGAAAATCACCAAACATTATATTTGCAGATTCTGATCTTGAAGTGGCAGTTAAATGGGCATATCAAGGAATTTATTTCAATCATGGTCAATGTTGTTGCGCTGGTTCACGAGTTTATGTCGAAGATTCTATTTATGATAAATTCGTTGAGAAGTTTAAAGCATATTCTGAAAGCATGAAAATTGGTGATCCTTTTCATAATGACACATTTCAAGGCCCTCAGGTTTCTCAACGACAATTTGATAGGTAACATTATATGCTGTATGACATATGGGCCTCCCACATAGAGGTGCAGGTGAATCGTCCCAATGAATGCCGTAACTTTTCCGTAGCATGCCGCAACTATATTAAAAATTATAAAAAGTTACGGCAAACATGCCGTAACTTTTTATAATTTTTAATATAGTTGCGGCATGCTACGGAAAAGTTACGGCATTCATTGGGACGATTCACCTGCACCTCTACTCCCACAGCAAAAGAAGATAGGCCAAAAAAAACTTTTTAAAAAAAATTCAATAACTGGAAGAATTAGATTGATCAGAATAAATTATTATGAAATTAAAACATTCGATTTTTTTGGCCAATCCCCTCCTTTTGCTGTGGGAGGTCCCATATATACTTTGTAAAAAAAAATATTACTAAATAATCTGTCATATATTTAGAATCATGTCTTACATTGAATCTGGCAAGCAAGAGGGTGCAACTTTGTTATTGGGTGGTGAACGACATGGTGATGAAGGATATTTCGTCTGTCCAACTGTTTTCACTGACGTGGTAAGGGTTTATTCTAACACCTATATATTCTTATTATGATGTATATGTATTGAGCTTTTTACGTTGTAAAATTTAAGAACGAAAATATGAAGATCATGCAAGAAGAAATATTTGGGCCAGTTGTTGCCATTGCAAAATTCAAAACCGTTGAAGAAGTAATTGAAAAGGCACACCTGACAAATTACGGCTTGGCTGCAGCTGTTTTCACTAAAAATTTATCTCGAGCAATAAAAATTTCAAATACGTTGAGAGCTGGCACGGTGTGGGGTAAGTTTTCTAAATCTTTCCCTCATATCTGTAACTTTTACACGTGATTATATATACTAATTATCATTATCTACTTTACAGTTAACTGTTATAATGTGATTAATGCCAATACGTAAGAATTTTCAGTTTATTTATCACTATTTGTTTTTGTTCATTTACTTATTTTTATTTTATTTTTTTTAAAAAAAATCAGTCCATTTGGAGGTTACAAAGAATCTGGATTTGGCCGTGAGCTCGGAAAATACGCGTTAGAATTATATACTCAAGTGAAAACAGTTCAAATTAATCTTGAATCCTAAATGTGAATTGTAAATAATATAACGATTCAAACGTAAGGTAGGATAGTATTTACTGAAAACATTATATATAACCAGCTAGCTGCTTCTTTAGCTTAAAATTCCTCTTTATTTGGTTGAATATGTAAATAAATTCACACAGGCTCTTTAAGAATTAGTTTTTTCTTATGGCCTTAAATAATTTGCCCTACAAAAAAAATCTCTTGGAGTTGTTCGGAAAATTCTGAAATTATTCGATTTTTTGTTCGGAAAAACGACTCCGTTTCGAACATTTAAGGATGTTTATTGGATGAACGCGTTTTTATACGTTTTATACGTAATTTCCAATCAAAAATTTTCTATTTTTAACATCCCGTACAAACATTATTGTTAAAACAGTACAGAAATAAACCCTGTTCGGAAAAATCGAATCCGTTCCGAACATTTTTTTGGACAATGCCTACAAACTTTTTTTTAGGGTTGTTATCACGTAAGCAAAATATTAAAGCTAATTAATACTAAAAGTGTCCTAAACAATTGCGCATTATTAAAACATCCAATATACCAAGAACAGAGTGCAACGAAAAGTGATGCGCAATTTCGTATTTGGATTTATATTTTGTATACTATATTTGTAAGTTTATAACTCTGGTCAATGGTGGGTGTAATAAACAAATGTACTGTAGTCGAAAATTCTTGATTAGAGAAACATTACTGCACCATGTGTGACATAGCCAGGGCATATGATCGATTATCTGTCACGTTGCAACAGACCCTGCTTTACAATTAGATTTATGCAAATCATGAGATAAATTTTTATAATTATGCAACAGAGCAGACTATACCTATACGAATTGAGTAGAAATATGCAATATTAATCCTAATATTCGAATATGCTATCGCTTCATCAGATTTATGCACAGAATATGTTATCACAGGTCCAGACTGAAAGTTTAAACCATTGATTCATAATAATAGACTGGTTTAAACCCGATCTTTATAATCAGAAACTCTAACTATAAAAGATCGATCTCAGGCAGTTTTTCAGACCGAAAGTTTAGATTGGTGTAATCTTATAAGTCGTCTCCGTAATCAAACCAAAAAGACTGGGCTAAAAATAGACCGAGTTGGACCAAACCACATACCTACTCAAGTGTTCAGTTGCTCATTATTATTCTGAAATAAAATTTTACCATAAGGTTATACAATTACAATATACTTACACCATATAAGAAAAGTGGTCTGGGTTCGCACGAAAAAACAGTGTATAGGCACGTGGCCGAGTGGCACGGGCTATGGGCCGGGTTTGCACGTGCATGGTTCGAGTTGTCACGCAAGGACACGTAAATTTTTCTAAAGAAATTTTTTGAAAGAAATCGAAATTTTGGGGGGCAAATCGAAATTTTTTGAAATTTGATCAAATCTCTCGAAATTTGGCCAAATTTATAGCGCTTTGCAAAAAGATGTGACCCCATGATTTTTGTTATTTGAAATTGGTAAGATTCTTAAAATACATTGTGATCTGCAAAGGTTACATCTTTTTGTAAAGCGCAATAATCAAAATTTATCGAAATTTTTGGATATTAATAATAACTGGAATATAAAAAATCTTATACAATCAAACCGCATAATTGCACCCTATATAAAAATAATATTATTGGCCAAAAAAAAATACCAAAAATCACATGATAATACAGTAATAATATCACTGGACGAGAACAACGTTAAAAAATTTTTTTTTTATGTTGACTTCGAAATTTATCGCAATTTTTACACAAATCGATCGAATGTACCGAAATTTTGCATAAGTCAATCGAAATTTATCGAAATTTTTGCATAATCAATCGAAAATTTTGCTTTAAATCGAAAGAATTTTTACGAGTCCCTGTTGTCACGGAATCGGTGAATCGTGTTGATTCGTATACCCGCGCCAATTTAACGTGAAATCACGTAAATCATACGTGTCTTTTGCAGCAGTTTACTAAGCCAATTGACACGGAGCTGATGGCACGTGAATGGAACGGGTAAGTAAACATTAATTTACGGTCCACTTTCCAATAGAGATTTTAATAGAAGAGGATTGGTAATAGTTGCAGTATATATATATCTGGAAACTAGAGTAACTGCAAATGTGTAAAATCTTGCAAGGAATCTTTTTCCTAAAGATATCCAGAGCAGGTTTACTTGCGAGTTCTTGAGATATTGTACTCCGTGAAACGAGCCAACACGTGTCATTCCGTGTCATCTTATGCGTGCCATTCCGTGTGGCGTGATATAACGTGCCACCCATTACCGTAATGTCCGTGTCATTTTTAATCTTGCCATTCCGTAAAACGCGCCTATACTCCACACGATCCGTACCATTCCGTGCATATACACTGTTTTCCCGAACCACTTTTCTTATAGGGACAGTACATACTATCACTAAATTAAGTTGGAAAATTTTTTACCGACCTGATCTCTAAAAAATTGACATTTTGAGAAAATTATACAATATCAATTTTTCAAATAATTCTCACCTACAGGTTTTGACTTGGATCTTATTAGATTATATGTATGTTTTTTAAATTGTGCAGTATCCTGCTCATGCGCTAGGAGTTTTTTTTTTAATATTTCTTGTTAAGGTTTATTGGTTGACAAGAGTGTTTTTCTGTAATTTTCGTACAAACTAACCATACAAACGAAAATTTAATAATATTGCTGTACTGAGTAAGGGTTTTCTCAAGCACTTCACTCAATGGATCGGAAGTAAGTTTTTAGTTAGTCGGAAATTAAATAAATTAACCAAGCGAGTTACATCTTTTTTCTTCAAAAATTTACCATTGATAAAGGTGAGAATTATTTGAAAAATTGATATTGTATAATTTTCTCAAAATGTCAATTTTTTAGAGATCAGGTCGGTAAAAAATTTTCCAACTTAATTTAGTGATAGTATGTACTGTCCCTATAAGAAAAGTGGTTCGGGAAAACAGTGTATATGCACGGAATGGTACGGATCGTGTGGAGTATAGGCGCGTTTTACGGAATGGCAAGATTAAAAATGACACGGACATTACGGTAATGGGTGGCACGTTATATCACGCCACACGGAATGGCACGCATAAGATGACACGGAATGACACGTGTTGGCTCGTTTCACGGAGTACAATATCTCAAGAACTCGCAAGTAAACCTGCTCTGGATATCTTTAGGAAAAAGATTCCTTGCAAGATTTTACACATTTGCAGTTACTCTAGTTTCCAGATATATATATACTGCAACTATTACCAATCCTCTTCTATTAAAATCTCTATTGGAAAGTGGACCGTAAATTAATGTTTACTTACCCGTTCCATTCACGTGCCATCAGCTCCGTGTCAATTGGCTTAGTAAACTGCTGCAAAAGACACGTATGATTTACGTGATTTCACGTTAAATTGGCGCGGGTATACGAATCAACACGATTCACCGATTCCGTGACAACAGGGACTCGTAAAAATTCTTTCGATTTAAAGCAAAATTTTCGATTGATTATGCAAAAATTTCGATAAATTTCGATTGACTTATGCAAAATTTCGGTACATTCGATCGATTTGTGTAAAAATTGCGATAAATTTCGAAGTCAACATAAAAAAAAAATTTTTTAACGTTGTTCTCGTCCAGTGATATTATTACTGTATTATCATGTGATTTTTGGTATTTTTTTTTGGCCAATAATATTATTTTTATATAGGGTGCAATTATGCGGTTTGATTGTATAAGATTTTTTATATTCCAGTTATTATTAATATCCAAAAATTTCGATAAATTTTGATTATTGCGCTTTACAAAAAGATGTAACCTTTGCAGATCACAATGTATTTTAAGAATCTTACCAATTTCAAATAACAAAAATCATGGGGTCACATCTTTTTGCAAAGCGCTATAAATTTGGCCAAATTTCGAGAGATTTGATCAAATTTCAAAAAATTTCGATTTGCCCCCCAAAATTTCGATTTCTTTCAAAAAATTTCTTTAGAAAAATTTACGTGTCCTTGCGTGACAACTCGAACCATGCACGTGCAAACCCGGCCCATAGCCCGTGCCACTCGGCCACGTGCCTATACACTGTTTTTTCGTGCGAACCCAGACCACTTTTCTTATATGGTGTAAGTATATTGTAATTGTATAACCTTATGGTAAAATTTTATTTCAGAATAATAATGAGCAACTGAACACTTGAGTAGGTATGTGGTTTGGTCCAACTCGGTCTATTTTTAGCCCAGTCTTTTTGGTTTGATTACGGAGACGACTTATAAGATTACACCAATCTAAACTTTCGGTCTGAAAAACTGCCTGAGATCGATCTTTTATAGTTAGAGTTTCTGATTATAAAGATCGGGTTTAAACCAGTCTATTATTATGAATCAATGGTTTAAACTTTCAGTCTGGACCTGTGATAACATATTCTGTGCATAAATCTGATGAAGCGATAGCATATTCGAATATTAGGATTAATATTGCATATTTCTACTCAATTCGTATAGGTATAGTCTGCTCTGTTGCATAATTATAAAAATTTATCTCATGATTTGCATAAATCTAATTGTAAAGCAGGGTCTGTTGCAACGTGACAGATAATCGATCATATGCCCTGGCTATGTCACACATGGTGCAGTAATGTTTCTCTAATCAAGAATTTTCGACTACAGTACATTTGTTTATTACACCCACCATTGACCAGAGTTATAAACTTACAAATATAGTATACAAAATATAAATCCAAATACGAAATTGCGCATCACTTTTCGTTGCACTCTGTTCTTGGTATATTGGATGTTTTAATAATGCGCAATTGTTTAGGACACTTTTAGTATTAATTAGCTTTAATATTTTGCTTACGTGATAACAACCCTAAAAAAAAGTTTGTAGGCATTGTCCAAAAAAATGTTCGGAACGGATTCGATTTTTCCGAACAGGGTTTATTTCTGTACTGTTTTAACAATAATGTTTGTACGGGATGTTAAAAATAGAAAATTTTTGATTGGAAATTACGTATAAAACGTATAAAAACGCGTTCATCCAATAAACATCCTTAAATGTTCGAAACGGAGTCGTTTTTCCGAACAAAAAATCGAATAATTTCAGAATTTTCCGAACAACTCCAAGAGATTTTTTTTGTAGGGCAAATTATTTAAGGCCATAAGAAAAAACTAATTCTTAAAGAGCCTGTGTGAATTTATTTACATATTCAACCAAATAAAGAGGAATTTTAAGCTAAAGAAGCAGCTAGCTGGTTATATATAATGTTTTCAGTAAATACTATCCTACCTTACGTTTGAATCGTTATATTATTTACAATTCACATTTAGGATTCAAGATTAATTTGAACTGTTTTCACTTGAGTATATAATTCTAACGCGTATTTTCCGAGCTCACGGCCAAATCCAGATTCTTTGTAACCTCCAAATGGACTGATTTTTTTTAAAAAAAATAAAATAAAAATAAGTAAATGAACAAAAACAAATAGTGATAAATAAACTGAAAATTCTTACGTATTGGCATTAATCACATTATAACAGTTAACTGTAAAGTAGATAATGATAATTAGTATATATAATCACGTGTAAAAGTTACAGATATGAGGGAAAGATTTAGAAAACTTACCCCACACCGTGCCAGCTCTCAACGTATTTGAAATTTTTATTGCTCGAGATAAATTTTTAGTGAAAACAGCTGCAGCCAAGCCGTAATTTGTCAGGTGTGCCTTTTCAATTACTTCTTCAACGGTTTTGAATTTTGCAATGGCAACAACTGGCCCAAATATTTCTTCTTGCATGATCTTCATATTTTCGTTCTTAAATTTTACAACGTAAAAAGCTCAATACATATACATCATAATAAGAATATATAGGTGTTAGAATAAACCCTTACCACGTCAGTGAAAACAGTTGGACAGACGAAATATCCTTCATCACCATGTCGTTCACCACCCAATAACAAAGTTGCACCCTCTTGCTTGCCAGATTCAATGTAAGACATGATTCTAAATATATGACAGATTATTTAGTAATATTTTTTTTTACAAAGTATATATGGGACCTCCCACAGCAAAAGGAGGGGATTGGCCAAAAAAATCGAATGTTTTAATTTCATAATAATTTATTCTGATCAATCTAATTCTTCCAGTTATTGAATTTTTTTTAAAAAGTTTTTTTTGGCCTATCTTCTTTTGCTGTGGGAGTAGAGGTGCAGGTGAATCGTCCCAATGAATGCCGTAACTTTTCCGTAGCATGCCGCAACTATATTAAAAATTATAAAAAGTTACGGCATGTTTGCCGTAACTTTTTATAATTTTTAATATAGTTGCGGCATGCTACGGAAAAGTTACGGCATTCATTGGGACGATTCACCTGCACCTCTATGTGGGAGGCCCATATGTCATACAGCATATAATGTTACCTATCAAATTGTCGTTGAGAAACCTGAGGGCCTTGAAATGTGTCATTATGAAAAGGATCACCAATTTTCATGCTTTCAGAATATGCTTTAAACTTCTCAACGAATTTATCATAAATAGAATCTTCGACATAAACTCGTGAACCAGCGCAACAACATTGACCATGATTGAAATAAATTCCTTGATATGCCCATTTAACTGCCACTTCAAGATCAGAATCTGCAAATATAATGTTTGGTGATTTTCCACCTAATTCTAAGGAAACCTTTTTCAAGTTACTATCTGCCGAAGCTTTTAATATAGATCTTCCTACAGCGGTCGATCCTAAGAAAATTTAAAAACAAATATATAAATAAAATTTTTACTATAAAATCAGAACCAATTCTATCTTACCTGTAAAAGCGACTTTATCGATTTTCATATGATTGGCAATAGCAGCACCGGCTGTAGGACCAAATCCCGACAGAATATTAACGACACCTTTTGGAAACCCAGCTTCTTTAAATAAGGCAGCAACTTTTAAGGCATTCAAAGGAGTATATTCAGATGATTTAAGTACTACAGTGTTGCCTATAAAAATAATTGGATATTGTTAATGAACAGTTCTAATCGTATTATAGAATTATTATGTTCAACATAAATACCGCATGCTAAGGCTGGAGCTAATTTCCAAGATTGCATAAGAAGTGGAAAATTCCATGGAATAATTGCACCAACAACACCAATTGGTTCATGACGCGTATAGCAAAATTTATCATGTTCAGTCTCAATAACCTACCAATAAAAAAAAGTACTGCATTATTATTATATTATCCTGTTTTAAATACCAGATGACTTTAATTCTTGAAATATTACTAATGCTAAATGTTAAAATGCGTATCATGTGCAGGTGACAGTCTGATGTATTTAAAAAAAATTAAATACAACTGACTCTTGATATAAGAAAGTCACCGAGTCCGGCCAAAATCTCTCTTATATCGAGATTTTCTTACATAAAGGCTTTTTATTATAAAATTTCAAACAGGCCTTATAAAATCTTTCTTACCGTATTTTCGCGTAATAACGCGCAGGGGTATAATTTCAATTTTTGGCCAAAATTAATCTTAATTCGGGCCATTATTCGAAATAACGCACATGAGCGTTATTACGCGAAAATACGGTATATGATGAATTACTTATATCGAAAGTTTCTTATATCGAAAATTGTAAAACCAATTCACCTTGCCGTGGATCTTGTCACACCATCCGGCAAAGTATCTGTAAACGGCAATTGTAAGTGGAAGATCTGCGGACTTTGCTATTGTAAAAGCTTTACCGTTATCCAATGATTCAAGAGCAGCTAATTCATCGATATCACGTTCAATTAAATCAGCAAGCTTATTCAATAATCTTCCACGCTTATGACCATCCATATGAATCCATTCCTCATTAAAAGCCTTCGTTGCAGCTTCAACAGCGATATCAACATCTTTTTCAGATGCTTCTACTACAGAAGTAATAACTTGGCCAGTAGCAGGATTAATAGTCTCAAAACGTTTGTGATCAACAGAGTCAACAAATTCGTTATCAATAAAAAGGCCAGTATAAACTATATAATAATAATAATAATTATTCCCCATCAAAATTAGAATAAAGTGTATCATAATGTATCAAAAGATTAATATAGAGATTGCATACCTTTAACAGTTTTACCGTTAGGCAAAATAATATTTTCCTCGTATTTTGAAGACATGTTAAGGAGCGAAGAATAATATTGTGAGAATTTTTTTCACTATGTATTTATTTAATTTAACCTCCATATAAAGTTAACTACGGATCATTCCTATATATGTTTGTTATTCTTTTTTATATTACACGGCCCTATATGTCCTCCCGTGAACATTACTGATGATATTTTTATGATATAAAGAAAACCTGCAAATCTTATTAGATAAGGTTTGCAGGTTTTCTCTTGGCGGAACTCATAATGCCGTGAAAATATCAAAAAAAAATATTCGATGATTCTATGCACTAACTTTATACTGAGCTGCATGCACTGCAACTCGGATCTGCGCTGCCCCAAAAATTTTTTGCTGAATTCGGTATACCCTAACCTTAATTTTCTAAATCCACTTACTTTTTTTTTTTTTATTATATGCGAACAGGAATTTTGATAAATATAGGTTTGGTTCTATGCATCTAATACAATTTTAGAGCATAGCCCGAAACGCAAGCTATTTTAGTTTACCAATATAATAGGACCGGGAAAACTCTATAATAGGTCCCCCCGCCCCAAAAAATTTATTTATTATGTTTTGCGAATCAGGCTTTTTTTATAATTAAGCGAATCAGTTTTGCGGCACCTTAAAAAATTTAATAATAAAGCGAATCATTTTAGTCAAACACCTTGATATATATTTAAACTACTAAACCCATCCGGAATTTTTCAGAGCTTTGCTTCAATTATTTTCCCGACCTTGCTCGCATTTTACGTTCGTTGATTTTCTAACCGGAATATTTCGGACTTGTACTTGATTTTATAATAAATCGAATCAACTAATAGCGATGACATTTTTTATATTCTATATGTGCGAATCTAATCCAGGGCGGTGACCTTTTTTTCTGCGAATTATATAAAGTCAAGGACCTCATGAGACTTTATAATAATTCGAATCTATGATAAGTCAGTCACATTTTCCATATTTATAGATATAGGTGGGGCGGGGACCTATTATAGAGTTTTCCCGGTCCTAATATAATATTATACTTATCTGTTATTATTATTATTCGCATGGCATGAATGATTCAGATTTACTGATGTAGATATGAAAAGGATAATAACGTCGTAATAACGTAGCAAACTTTTATCTTGATTGGCTGATTTGCTAATCATATTATCTTAATTAAAGTTTACAACTTGCAGTCGTAAGAATGAATTTGCAACCACGAATACGAATTTGCAGAGGTTGTGGTACGTATAAAATTTAACTATGTGCCCTGCTCTAATAGTTTAAGGTAATTCATTAAAAATTGACGAGGTAATTCTCTCAAACTTTCCATTTATAACTATAATCTGTTTATAAACTATATGAGTGAGGCTTTGGGGAAAATTTTCTTTATTTAGTGAAATTTCTCTATTAGCAGATTTTTTGAAAATATTTGAACGTCTTATTCATATGAATTTCTATACTAATCTTATTTTGGGTTCATTTTAGTATGAATTTGAAGGCTTCTTAGAATGTAAATTTTCATGTTCATCAGCACAGCAGTTAACGTTAATTTAGATGTACCCGATTTGTCATTACTTCCTTCATGTACAACTTCCACAATGAATTTAATTTACGTTTTTGAATTATTAATTATTCCAGGTAAAGTGGTCACATGTCACATGCCTTATTCAGGTCACGGTATCAACGTGCTAGAGTTTTTTTTATTATTATATAACATATTCATTTAATAGCCAATCAGATATAATATTCAGTATAGAAAATCAAATGGCATCTATTAAATAAATAAACTTTATCCGCATCAGCTATAAGTAATATCAAGGGAAATTCATTTAAGATTTGGTACTGACAATCTCATCTGTTATAACTATGAATCGATTTAACGGAGTCCGTCATAACTATAGTTGTTGGGCGAAACCTAAAATCAAAATAATGAAAACCGAAACCTAAATTCGAAATGATGGTTTCAAATAACGAATCCTCAAAAAGCGAATACTTTATAACCGGTCAAATGTCAAAGACAGAGAGTGGAATCAATGAGTTTCGAGCATTGGTTGATCACAAACTCTAAATTTCGAGCATCGGTAAAAAATTTTGACCGATATTCGAATGTTCGATGAATTTTTAAAAACATAAAAAAAAATTTTAGTATAACATTTAATTTATCAACTATACTGCTATCGCTATCAAAACAATAGTTAAATTTTAATTTTGACTGATGCTCGATGATTGACCGAATTAAAACTCAATGAATGAAGTTTATTTCGATGCTCGAAATTTTCGATCAATACCCGAATAATTATTCACCGATTCCACTCTCTAGTCAAAGATTTGGCAAAGAAACGAACAAATATTGTATATGATATTAATAGAATTGATCTTTAAATATATTATTACCGTAAATTCTCGAAATAACGCCCAGGGTAAAATTACGAAATTTGACCTAAATTAAGCTTAATTCGGGCCAAAACGCCCATGCCCGCTATTTTGAGAATTTATGGTATATACAATATTCCGTATCAAGTAACACAAAATTCGTCAAAATTCATACAGCGGAAAAAGTTTATTATTAATTCAAAATGATTTCAGTATACTTTTTTTAAAGGGTTATGTTTGTGAACTAAATAGATAAGTCAACGTAAATAAATTGATCCAAATAATTGTAGTACAATTATTATAAAACACACCTATGGTGTTTTACAACTATTATATATTTCCTTATATTTTTTAAATTTTTGTAAGTTTTGTTTTAATACAAATTTTTTTAGTATTAGGGTTAGGGTTTGGTAAGGGTATATACTAGGTAAATGGAAACCATTTAAGGTCCGAAGGATCTGTCTGACAATGGGTATTTTCGGAGCAAATGTTTGTTTTTATCAATCAACCAATCAAACCCCTTAATTTGCGGACACA